TATATTGGATGTATTTACTTTGTATTTTTTAAATGTATTTTTTATTTTACGTAAAATTATTTTGTTAATAAAAACTAATAGTGTAAATTGAATTGTCAATTTTTAATAGATAAATAAATTATATTTATTATATTTTTTTGTAATATTTATCGAAAACTTCAAGCACATGGAAAGTCCTTAATACATGTTTGAGTATATTAGGTCAACCTTAAAAAATGAAAAAATAAAATAAAATAAATATTTACATAATTGTGTGTTTATTTGATCGGACATAGATTTTTTTTAAAAAATAGATAATTTTTTTTTTTTTTTACTTTTTTGGTAAAAAAAAAGTAAAAAATTGATAGTATTCTTTTACTAAAAATAAAAATAAATTTAGATGACAACAAAAAAATAAAAGTAAAAATAAATTTAAATATATATTTTTAATACAAATATCATATATAATCACTTTTTTACTTAAAAACAATACAAAAAACCAAATATATTTAACACAAATCACAACTATAATTTGAGAACCAATGCCAAAAATTATCAAGGCTAAATCTTATTTAAATTAACAAGAATTAGTCACAAAAATTCATTTATTCATTATTATTATTATTTTTTAATATGTGACCATTTATATATTTCATATTAAATTTAAATCAATAATAGAGGGACACATTTTATTATTGACACATGTATAGTTATTATTGGAGAGTGGTAATCATTTATTGAAAACCCAATGATGTTTTTTAATTTTACTTTTGTATATAATAATTATAATTTAATTTAGAATATCAAATTGAAAACTAATTACTCCCTGCATCCCATAACTAAATAGTCATTTGTTTTTTGTACGTAGTTTTAAAAATATTAGTATTATATTTGAATATAGTAAAAATAAAATAAAAATTACTAAAATAATCTTATTAGTATATGTGATATAAAGGTAATAATATTTGTGTAATATATTGTAAGTTGTAAGGGTATTTGTAATGTTAGGTAGACAGTACCGTTACTTGGAAAAAATAAAATGAATATTTTGTTATGGGATTGACTAAAATGAAAAAATAGATATTTTGTTATGAGACGGAAGTATTTAAAATTTTATAAATATAAAACACCACAAACACAAACATGGAATTGTTTTCAGTTTGGTGATTTTTTATTTTTTATTTTTTTATTTGAATAGTAATTTTAATTTGATATTTTTGTTTTAAGATACTTTTTTCGTTCCACATAATTTGTCTATATTTTTTATTTTTGCCCGTCCCTCGTAACTTGTCCTTTCTATTTTTGGAAATATAATTATGCATTTTAATCGCATTTTAAATTCTATAATTTTTTTAATTTTAATTAAACTATTTACTTATGTTAATGTTAATCTATAATTATTTTTATTAAATAATAATTATTTTTACTAATACACTTCTTAATTACTTACTAATTATATTTTACCTAAATTCTCGTGTTTACAGTAATACACCCATATTACATGGGACGGAGGGAGTAGAATAATACTCCTCCCTTTTAAATTGTCCATTTTAGATTAGACACGAAATTTTAGGTATTAGGTAATTAGTAAATAATTAAAAATATATAAGTAAAAATAATTATGATTTAATAAAATTAATTATAAATTAAAATTAAAATGACTAAATAATCTACTTGAAAAAAATATAAATTAAAATGTGATTAAAGTGTATAATTATATTTTCAAAAAATGAAAAAATAAATTATATGGAACAAATAAAAATACAAAGAGTAGACAAATTAAGTGGAATGAAGAAAATGAGTATATTTTTGTAAAAAAAATCAAAAATTTAAATAATAAATTAAAATTTGAAGATAAAAAATAAATAAATAACAAACTCTCAATAAACAAACAAAAATCATCATTTGTGTTCTTCCATTTTATTTCCTAAAAATACTATCTTTTCAAAAAAATTTATATATTACATATTTATTATTTTTATATTACTTATACAATTCTCTATACCTCATATAAATAATACTCCATCCGTTCCAATACAATAGTGTTGTTTACCATTTTTGTCCGTCTCAAAATAATAGTCTTATTTATATAAATAATCATATCACCATAAAATTATCCATACTTTTTCATTTTTATTACACAATTGTCACTATTTTTTACACTAATACACTCACAAGGGCAAAAAAGTCTTTTACCATATTTTTTACCAATTATCAATATAATATCATTATTCCTTAAATCTCGTGTTCAACCCAATTAAGACTATATTTATGGAAAGAATGGAGTATTTTTTAAAAAAGTTCCACTAAACTAACGCACTTAATATATATATATATATATTTTTTCAATTTTTATAAATTTATAGTAATATTTTATAAAATAAAATATCATACTCAAAAAATTATTTAAACACAAATAAAACATACTCAAATAAACAAACACATTTTGTTTATTAAATAAATAAATCATCAATTAAAGATATGAGTGGGCAGTCTCAAGTGTCCCATGCTGTTAATTGTTGTACTTTCTACACATAGAAAATCGCATTATGGGTTGTACTAAACAAGGAACTCGTGCCGCACGTGACGCTCGCGTGCCGCATATGGCTTCTGCTTCTTTACTTTTCCACGTCATATTATTTATTAATAAATCTTATTTACTTTCCTTTTATTACAAATCACCTTTCTCTAATACAAAGTAATTATCCATAATTAATTAAAGGTTAAATTATAATACCTTTATTCGTGTTTTAGTACAAATGCATAAATAATCTCGTATTTTATTTATTGCTTGAAACTCTTTATTTTAATATAAAATTTGCACGAAACATATTTTAATTTAAAATTGATATTTGATTGTAAATATGAATTTAACAATACAAGTTTTATACAAATAAAAGAGATCAGATATTTTACGTAATTTTTTTAATAAAATAAATAAACAAATAATTGATTAATCCAAAAAAATTATTTAAGATATATATATATATTTATTTATATAAAACTTGCGTAATTTAAATCTTTTTAACCAAATATCAGCTTCGGATAAAAATTGTATTTTGTGCGAACTTTAAATTAACACAAGAAGTTTTACTTAATAAATAAAATACGGAATATTTTTTGTATTATTTTATTAAAATACAATGTTATATAATTTCCGTTTAATTAAATTAAATAGTCCTCTGTCCCATATACTGTAGACACGGTATGAAAGGTGTAATTAGTAGATAATTAAGAATGTATCAGTAAAAATAATTATTGTATAATATAAATAATTATAAATTAAGATTAAAATAACTTATTAGTTTAATTAAAATTAAAAAAATAAAATTTAAAAATTTAAAATGAGATTAAAGTTTGTAATATTTTTCAAAAAAGGAAAGTGACATGGTATGTAGGACAAATAAAAACGACAACATAGACATGGTATTTAGGACGGAGGGAATACATTATTATTATTATTATTATTATTATTATTATTATACAGTTGTATTTTCACGAAGGGGATCGAATTACGATACACTTTGCTTAACAAAGAGCTCATGACAGATAATTAATTGTACGATATGTAATTAAAATTTGCATGTCTCTGCACTACACTATTAATTTAATTTATTTATTTTAAAACATCCTGTAAATATAATAACAGCGATCATACAAACATGTAATAAGTATTTTTCACAATAAATAAATTAATTTATGCAATAATTATAATTATAATTATATAAAATAAAATTATTACTATTAAACTGCTTTGAGTCTACATTTTGGAATAAAATAAAGGTTATCAAAATCAAATATTAATATCTAATACTCCCTCCGTCCCGTAATTAAGTATTCATTTGTTTTTTGTACGTAATTTTAGAAATATTAGTATTATATTGGGATATAATAGGAATAAAGTAGAAACGACTAAAATAACCTTATTAGTATGTGTGATATAAAGATAGTGACATTTGTGTAATATATTGTAAGTTGTAAGGTATTTGTAATGTTAGGTAGATAGTACAGTTATGGATACTTTGTTATGGGACGGACTAAAATGAAAAAATGGATACTTTGTTATATGACGGAGGGAGTATATCTATTTGTGTGAATTTGATCATTTAATTATAAATTTTAATACAACTCAAGGTTTGTTTCTTTCAATTTGGCTTTAACTTTTTAGAAAATAAAAGCTAGTGATTTTTTTATATTTTTTTATGTTTAAGCATTATTGAATAAAATTATTTAAAAATGTATGACATCAATATATATTTATATCACATGAAAATTACCTCAAATACTTTAATTTTAAAATAATAATAATAAATAAAAAACTTATTTTCTTAAAAAAAATTCAAAATAAAAAATGGCTTATAATTTTGTTGGGCCAACATTGAGCCCAATCCAGTAGTATCAGACATTTATATATATACATATTATTTTTGTTATTATTATTTTATTTTGATATTTATTAGGAAAATTTATTTTGAACATAATACTTATTTATGCCATAATTTCATTAAAAAAGATTGACAATTACTACTGTGTATGTTGCCATTATTTAATTTACATTACTTTTTATCTAAAAGAGTAAATTTAAAATATAATTTCTACTCAAATAAATAAAAGCAAATAATAAGTAAATGCTAAATTATTACACCCATTCGAAAATTTAAGTAAAATATAATTAGTAAGTAATTAAAAAATATATTAGTAAAAATAATAATTATATAGTAAAAATAATTATATATTAAAATTAAGATAACTAAATAATTTAATTAAAATTAAAAAAAATTTAAAATTTAAAATGTGATTAAATTATAGGAATATTTTAAAAAAAATAAATAATAAATTATGCGCGACAGGAGAATAATATCTAAAAATTAAAATATATCAAAATGGGCCCAAATGTGGGCCCAAAATAGGTTCACTTTGTGGCCTGTATTTTCCCTATCCATTTAAACCATTTCCCTCCACAAAAAATACCTAATTTAACTGTCAATAAAAATAATAATAAAAAATACCCGAAATTCAAAAAATATCAAAACCAAGAGCTGAAATTCGAAGAAGAAATCAATGGCGTAGAACAAACCCTAATGATTCAATCTTCGTTCTTCACCCAATTGGGAAGCTGAAAGAAATCGTCTGCTGCAGTTCCAATGGCTTCGATTGCTACAGGTACAGGCGTCGGCTTTGGGGGCACGATGCTCCAGTCGTTTAATTCCAAGCCAGTCTCGTCGTTCATCGGAAGAAAGCTCAATGTAAAAGGTGCTCGGCAGAAATTCTCGGGTTGGAGGTCCAAATATTTTGCAGTGATGGCGTCGGGGATGGATGTTTTCGGTTTTGTTCATGACTTGTTTCTCGGAGTTGGAGTAGGGCTGCCCTGCACAGTGATGGAGTGTGGGGATATCATTTATAGGAGCACTCTGCCGAAGTCTAATGGCATCACGCCTACTGTTCCTGGTGTGATTTTAGCTTTGGGAACTTTGTCTTACCTTTGGGCTACTCCTGGTGTCGCGCCTGGTTTCTTTGATATGTTTGTTCTTGCGTTTGTTGAAAGAATTTTTAGGCCTACTTATAAGAAGGTAATTGGAATTTGTGTTTAATTATGTTGTTTAGGGTTTATCTTATTGATTTATTGTTGGTTTGATTTGTGGTTGATGGCAGGAAGACATTGTTCTGGGGAAGAAATTGGGGGAGGGTTCTTTTGGTGTGGCTTACAAGGCTTCAATAGTGAAAAATTCGTCTAAGGTATGTGTTAGGCTCTTTTAAATTTTCCGATGCATTGTAATAGCTGAATTTCTTTTAAAATTCATTCATAGGAAATGGGAATTTTAGATTAGGTCTTTGAATTCGATGGTGGCGGAATTTGGCATGGCAGCATGCTTTGCCATGATCGTTTTGTTTGTTCTATGTTTAAATTCGTCGATGCACTGGTAATAGCTAAAAGTTTTTGAAATTCATCATTAGGAATTGGGAATTATAGATTTAGGTCTTTGAATTCAATGGTGGTGGAATTTGGCATGCTTTGTCGTAATCGTTTTGTTTGTTCTATGTTTAAATTCGTTGATGCCTGTTAGTGGATAGAAGTTTATGAAATTCGTTAGTAGGAAATGGGAACTTTAGATTGGATCTTTGAATTCGATGGTGGCGGAATTTGGCATGGTTTGACGTAATCGTTTTGTTTGTTCTATGTTTAAATTCATCGATACACAGTTAATAACTAAAAGTTTTTTAAATTCATCCATAGGAATCGGGACTTTTAGATTTAGGTCTTTCAATTCGATGGTGGTGGAATTTGGCATGCTTTGTCATAATCGTTTTGTTTGTTCTATGTTTAAATTCGTCGATACACAGTTAATAGCTAAAAGTTTTTAGAATTCATCCATAGGAATTGGGAATTTTAGATTTAGGTCTTTGAATTCGACGGTGGTGGAATATGGCATGCTTTGTCATCATCGTTTTGTTTGTTCTATGTTGTACTGAAAAGGAAGCTGGCGAGGTAGTCTTGAAAAAGGCTACGGAGTATGGTGCCGTGGAGATTTGGATGAATGAGCGTGTTCGAAGGGCATGTCCAAATAGCTGTGCTTATTTCCTTTACGGCTTTCTTGAGGTGGTTCTTTTTATTCCAAACATTTAAAAAGTTGGTGTCGTTTGAAGTCTGAATTAGTCGATACTTTTTTGTGCCCAAATCAGAGCTCGGCTAAGAAAGGGGCTGAATATTGGCTGCTATGGAAGTTCGAAGGCGAAACCACTCTAGCTGATTTGATGCAGAGTAAAGAATTCCCTTACAATGTTGGTACTTTCTTGAATTCGAAATCTTGAAAAGAATATATTCGAACTCATCGTAGATTTTTGTAGTTGCCGGAATGAACAATCGGAATTAAATTCTTACATTTTGCCTGAGCATTATTACCCTTGTCTGTGATCTTCATTGTGTTTTTTTTTTTCATGGTTTTGTATTGCAATTTTTCGATGATTATGGTTTTTCAGGTCGAGACAATTTTACTCGGGGAGGCTCAGAACCTTCCGAAGGGATTGGAGAGGGAAAATAGGATTATACAGACGATAATGCGACAACTCTTGTTTGCATTGGATGGTTTGCACTCGACAGGAATTGTTCATAGAGATGTTAAGCCACAAAACATTATTTTCTCCGAAGGTGATCTCTTGCATCTCATTCGCTACGATCTTCTTGTTTCTTCGTGTATTTTGTTCATTTCTTGTTTACAAACAATGAAAACAGATTCTCGGACATTCAAGATTATCGATCTTGGAGCAGCCACGGATTTGAGAGTTGGAATCAATTACATTCCTAAAGAGTTCCTGCTCGATCCTAGGTAGTTTTTGCATCCTCATTGCTTGCTCAAGACTTATCAGAATAAAGAATGTCTAATCTGTCCATCGCCTTCTTTTTTTTTTTTTCCTACAGATATACGGCACCCGAGCAATACATTATGAGCACACAAACGCCGTCTGCTCCATCTGTTCCCGTTGCAACAGCTCTTTCGCCGGTTCTCTGGCAGGTCTTGTCTTGTCTCGACTTTATTCCCGTTTCTAGATTTAATAAGTTCTTATGATCTAACTGAGTCTTTATTCCAGCTGAATCGACCCGACAGATTCGATATGTACAGCATTGGTCTAATATTCCTACAGATGGTACGCGCCAATAGTTAATTCATGGCTTTGTTTGACGAAGATATTTTTTAAGCTTTTGGTACTATCATTAGCTATAACCAGAGTTGTCAAACGAACCAAGCCGTTCATGAACTCGGCTTAATTAGAGCTCGTTCGCGAACAATAACGAGCTGAGCCGACCAGTATAAACAGGCTCGTTTGGTTAATGAACGAGTCCGAACTTTGTTCGTGAACGTTTGAGAACGTTTGCTAAAATAATATATTTATTATATATACGTATAAAATTATATACTAAAATAAATAAATAATAATTATAATTTTTTAAAAATTTATATATAAAATTAAAAAAAATAAGACAAACGAGCTCAAACAAGCTTAATGGAGCCGAATACAAACAGGAGCTCAAACAAAAAAAATTCTTAACAAGTCGAGCTCGAATACTTCGAATGAGTTCGAAAGCTTAACGAACACTTAAAATTTTGTTCAGCTCGGCTCATTAACAGCTGTAGCCGTAACTTCTTTAAAAGATATCCTCTTATATACTTATTCCCTCTCACAAAACTTCAAAAGTCTTTATCTAAACGGAGTCTAAAATTGTATCTCAGTACTTTCGACTATTTCGATCACATGATGGCGCCATCGCCAATTTCTAATATATACTTCTCATTGCAGGCATTCCCGGCGCTGCGCACAGACAGCGCTCTCATTACATTCAACCGACAATTGAAGAGATGCGACTACGATCTGAATGCATGGAGAAAGACCGTGGAGCCTCGAGCGAGCCCTGATCTACGGCACGGTTTTGAAGTGATGGAACTCGACGGAGGAATCGGTTGGGAGCTTCTAACATCGATGGTTCGTTACAAAGCTAGCCAGCGAGTGAGCGCAAAGGCTGCCCTGGCGCATCCCTATTTTGACCGCGAAGGCCTATCCGCTCTGTCCTTTACGCAGAACCTTCGACTGAGATATTTCCGCGCCACACAACAAGACTACAGCGAGGCTGCTACTTGGATCATTCAGCTCCTTGCCAAGTCGGGAACCAAAAAGGAAGGAGGTTTCACCGAGGCGCAGCTCCAAGAACTCAAGGTTTCGTCTCCTTTCCCTCTCTATATTTATATGATCGAAGAAAATTGCAATTTTGGTTATGTGACGCCCGTTATCATTTTGGTATTTTGAAGTTAACCGTGTTTGAAAATAGTTGTGTTTCATAGCGCTAGCGTTAAATTGTTGAATGAAGAAATAGGACTATTAGAGCGACGACGAATACGATATGTACTATCTCTGTCGTCCAAATCTGTTCTCAATTCTTTTGTAAAGTACAGAGGGAATGAACACAGATTTTGATGACGGAAGAAGTAGTATTTATGGACAAGGTTTGGTTAAAAAACCAAAATTCTAGGGCATGTTTGGACATATTTTGGAATAGTAAAAAATTGAATGGAAATAAGCGTTTCATGAAATGTAAATAGCTGTTGGACGTTGGATGTGATGTTTTTTATGTGTAGTGTGGGTTTGAAAGTGTTTTGAAGTCATAGGATCTATTTGTATATATATCTTTTAGAAGTTTTGAAGTCTATTTAATTTCATAAAACATTACATCAAATATTAACTCTTTACTATTTTCAAAACTTATATCGAAATGGAGCTTTAGTTTTGAAAAGTTTTGAGAATAGTTAAGGAGACGAATATTTGATGTGATATAAATAGATATTGAATACGATGTTTTGGGGTAGATCTGAAGGTGTATGTAGCAGGAAATGAAGCCGAAGAAAAAGGCGGGAAGCCCTCAACGGAATGCTCTGGCATCGGCTCTGCGGCTTCAAAGGAAAATAATCCGGACGCTTAATGAGACGGTCGACGAACTAAACGAACGTCGGAAAGGAGTGTGGTGGAGCAGATGGATCCCGAGAGAGGAATGAAAAGAGAAAGAGAAGATAGTTTCTACAAATTAAGGTACACACAACAACACATAGCAAGTAACATCTTCTCTTCTCCGTCTTCCAAATTTATGTTCATTTTCATCTTCATCTTTCATCTTTTGGTGTAAATATATACATTGTTTCCCTAATTATATGCAAAAAAAAAAAAAAAATAAATAAAAAATGATACAGTGATAATGATAGTAGTAATAATTTGAAGCATAATATTTGTAAATCAATGGCCGCAGTTAGCCTCCTCAACACAAATCAACAAGGCAGACTGCATGTAAATGTATAACATAGGATAATAGTGTTATACTCCCTCCGTCCGTCCGGTTAGAAAGTATACATATTTCTATTTTGGAACGTTCAATTACAAAGTAACAATTTCATTAAATACTCCATTTTTTCCACAAATATCCCTATTTTACATCGCATCGTTACTTTTATACCAAAAAAAGTAAGGGCAAAAATGTCATTTTACTACTTTTACCTACCCACGCGTCAAAAGTAATTGTATACTTTTAGCTTGGACGAATGGAGTATATGTATATTGTCCAGAAATCAATAATATATTGTGACATATGAAACTATATTATATGCTGTCAGAATGTATGTTATATTGTGTTTTATGTATATGTTTATTGTCTATAAATCAGTAATATATTATGTGTTATCAGAATATATATTACACATTGTATTATCATGTGGTATCAAATATATGCTACCCACCTGATGATTTGGGGTGGCTGGTCAACATGGTAACCAACCCGTTCATCGACTGATTGATCTTGTCTTAATGGTTGTGTTGTTTGAGTTTTTAGGAATTTTTGTAGATTTTTGTTCTTACTTAGTTATTTTTATCTTTGATATATTGATGTGAGAACCTCCTGCTGTTATTATGTTTTTAGTTAGTTATTTTTATTTTTGATATATTGATGTGAGAATAGTGGCGAAGCCACATAGGGGCTCGGGACCCGAGCCCCCCCTAGCCATTACATTGATAATATTGTTGGTTATATAAATCATTTGTTTGTTCAGATTGATTAATTCTTACTATTTAATATTTTTATACGAATTGAATACGTTAATATATATATTTACCATCAATTTTGTTTAAAATAATAAAAGTATTTGTTTTTTCGGCCTCAACGACTCCTTTAGTCCCCTCGAAGGAACAATTTTGGCTCTGCCACTGTGTGAGAACATACCGTTATTATTACTTGAGTGCATCTTTAGTAAACTTTCGACTAATTTAGTAGCCCGTAAAATAGATTCAATAAAATAAGTCAAACTGAGTGAATTATGTGTGACATGCCAGATTAGGTAATTTTAAATAAAATATAATTGTATTTTTTTTATATATATAACGAAATATAATTGTATTTTATTATTATTAAATTAGAAAATTGATGTATTAATTGTGGAAAATTTATAAAATAAATATAGGCAATGGATTAGGCGCTGAAAAAATGACAAATATTACTATAATGTATGAGCTGCAAAAGTAGGCATTCAATTGTATTGAATTAATTGCTATTGCTGCACCCATATTAAATAGCTATTAGGATGTGTTTGATATAAGAAAATGAAAATAGAGAAATATAAATATTTTTATTTCACTTGTTTATTTGATTCAAGTTATTATTATTATTATTATTATTAAACATGAACAAAATACTCTTAGAATGTAAAGACCTATGTCTAATAAAATCATGAGGTCTGTTATTATCAAACAAGACAACGTATTTGTATTACTAATGGGCCAGGAAAGTATTTTAAAAGAGTAAACTGTTTTTTTAGTCCCGTAACGACTCCTTTATCATTTTAGTCCTGTAAGTGGAGCTTGTTGCAAACTAGTCCCATAAGTAAAAAATTTTCGCTGTTTTAGTCCTCCGGTGTCGGAGACGCCCGTGTGGCTAAAAAATTTTCGCTGTTTTAGTCCTCCGGTGTCGGAGACGCCCGTGTGGCTCGCCGGAGGTGACGTGTTAGCCAGGTGTCCCGCCAGGTCAGCGACACCCGGCGGACACGTAGATTTATTTTTTATTTTTTCATTTTTTTTAAATATTTTTAAATTTTTTAAATTGTAACAAATAAAAAAAATACAAATAAAATTTAAAATAAATTAAAAATAAGTTTTAAAAAAAATAAAAATAAAATAAAAATCCACGAGTCCGCTGGAACTAGTTTGCGACATGCTCTACTTACGGGACTAAAATGATAAGGAAGTCAAGTTACGGGACTAAAAAAAATAGTGTACCCTATTTAAAAATGCATTTATTTTATTTTATTTTATTTTAATACTTTTCATTTAAGAAAATAATTTAAAATCTATTTTATAGATTTATTATTGTTATTATTATTTATTTTTTTTAAAAAAATGTAATCTAAAAGCCCAAACACAACCAATACTTTCATTGTCAATACTAAATTTTAAGACCAATGGTAAGAGAGTTCGTTATAACCCTATTTATTTATTTTTTTTCACAAAAATATGAAAAGCTAAAGTCAAACAAGATTCCCACTTACCTATGAGCATATAAAGTAACAAAATTACCAAAGTAAAAAAAAAAAAAGCAAAAAGAATATATCCAAACAAATTAATGCAAAATCAAATACTTCATTCATCCATCATATAATAATATTACACTTTTTATTTGTATCAATCACACATTTTGTCACTTAAAAAAAAAAAAAATTACACATTTTTAATAATAATACTCCTTTCATTTCAATACAATAGTTTTGTTTATCATTTTTGTCTGTTTCAAAACAATAGTCTCATTTTCATAAATAACTATATCACCATAAAACTATCCATATTTTTTCATTATTATTACACAATTGTCACTACTTTTTACACTAATATACTCACAAGGGCAAAAAAGTCATTATCCTTACTTTTTATCAACTACCAATATAATATTAATATTACTTAAATCTCGTATCCAACGTGATAAGACTATACTTTTGGGACAAAGGGAGTAATAATATTATTATTATTATTCAAATGTTGCAATTTAACAGAAATAAAGAACTCCCTCCGTCCCAAACACCCTGTAACATTTCTTTTTTATTATGTCCCAAACACCCTGCAACATTTTTAAAATGGGAAATAATTAATTATACTTAATCTCTACATCATACTTTATCCTCTTACATCATCCAAATAAAAAAATAAAATATATATTTCTCTCTCCATCACATCGTTTAATTTCTAAAAAATCGTAGCAAAAGCAAATGTTGCACTTGTTGGAGCCGGAGAGAGTAAGATATATAAATAAGACATAACTTGCCCACTTGCCACGCCTTCTAAAGTCTCTATACAAATCATTAAAAATTATTTAGAAGAAAATAAAAATAACAAATTAGAAAATGAAAATATAAATATAAATATAAATAAAAAGGAGTCATTATTGAAACATTAATAATTGCTGCCATGGACAGTAGGCTATATATGCACTCAGGATTTAGGACTTATTGTTATTGTACTAAAATTATAATAATAAAAATATTTACTAATAAATTAAAAATATGTATATATGAAAAAAACAAAAATTGATGAAGCAGCTATCCATCTACATCAGACAGGGTCGTGAAATTCCAAAAATACCCTCGACCGACACATTTCGAAAGAGAAAGGACAAATTTAAATTATTAAGATAAAAAATCCACAGAGAAAATTCACAAATAAACTAAAAAAAGAATTAAAACAAATTGACAGGTTTTTATTATTTTTTATTTTATAAAAAATCAAAATCATTATTAACGAACAAAGTGCGAGAACAACGAACGTACAAACACGTATGCACAGCGTACAACACCCAAGAATGTACACGTATATACCATTTACCTCATGACATGACAGCCATTCGCAACTCGAACTCATCCGCCGCCGCCGCCCTGCCACGGCGGAGCTCCGACAACCACCGCCGGCGCCGCCATTAAAACACCTATCTGAATCCGCCCGACCGCCGGAAAGCAAAACAAATGTGTACGATCGATTAACCAACGTATAATCCAATGAATAACTGAAATTCCAAATTTACCCCTCCCTGCAGTGCAGCTAAATTCTCCTTCTCGTGTCCTTGATCGTCTTTTCACGTGACGCCATATAATTCCAGAACATTCTCAACAGCTGGCGGGATGCGATAATCAAAGGTCCAGATTTAGCGATCGGAGAATAGAGATTCGTGTCGGTAGAGATCGTACGGTGACCAGAGATTGTCCAACGTACAAGCTTTTTTAGCTTCGAGCCTTAGCCATGGCTTCCCCTTGCCGCTCCAGTGTAGCAGGCTCACTGCACCAGGGTGCAGATCTCGGCAGAGACCTTCGAGATTGTCGCCGCCGAGGCCGTGCTGGTTCCACCGGTGCTCAACTTCCTCGACATTGCCGGCGAAAACTAGCAGGAATGGCGGAAGAGATCCGAGCTCGTAGATTCTGTACCGTTTCTGGATGCGCATCCAGTACTCGAGCTTTTGAGTGAATCCTTCGCTTCGCCATTTCGTCAAATCGATCACCATTACTCCGGTGTTGAAATAGCAGGTTTTCCGGTTGCGGAAGGTTGCGGAGAAGAACGGATTCGACCAGAAATTGGGGGTGAAATAGTAGCTGAAATTTGCGTGACAGTATTCCGGCGCGCCGATGACGTGAGAGTTGAGGTTGATTCTCCAGAGCTTCGCAATGTCGTCGACGACGATTAGGTCGGAATCGAGGTAGACGACGCGCGTGATGGAAGGAGGAAGGAGGTCGGCGAGGTAGATCCGCGCGTAATTCAGCGGTTGATCGAGCGCGCGGCGGATTGAGGAGGAGATGAGGTGGACGACGGCGGAGGGATTGAAGGAGTAGAGATGGAATCGGAGGTAAGGGAAGGTGGAGGTGATGGTTTTGTGGAGGTGCGGATGGTGGTCGGTAATGGCGAGGAAGTGGAAAACGGTGTTTTCCGGACAGGTTGAGTGTTGGAGGACGGAGAGGACGGCGGCGATGGAGCCGCGTAGGTACGGCGTCGAGTAGTCCAGCGTCATCGCGATGTGGACGGCGGCGGAGTTCCGGTGCGGCGGCGAGCAGGATTTACCGTTGCGGAACGCCGGAGCTTCGTGGAATAGAGGAGAATCTGCGGCAAAATTGAGCTGCAGAAGGAGGATGATAACAGTGCCAGTGGCGATTACCAGGCGGAGATACGGCGACATTGTGAAGTCGCCGGCGCCGGCGGTCTAACCGACGGCGGAATTGATAGAGTTTTATTTGGGTCCTGTGGCTGGGAGGATTCTCGTGTGACTCTGCAGAGATGATGAGATAAAGGAAGGACTTCGCAGAAGCTAAGCGGTTTACTATTATTTAGACGCTCCAGGGACTTCAAGTCCCGAATAGATCTACACCGCACCTTCAGACCCTACAATGAACTCCCCCACTATCAACGGTCACGATTAACTTAGGAGTTAGTCCCGGAGAATACCAATGCATCGGCTGGAATGACAATTATACCCTCCAAACTTCGAATATTGGTAGTCAACTAATTCGGACCGGTTTTGGATTACTAACTGATTTGTTAAATTAATTCAGCATGTGCTGAATTAATACTAACCATTGATTAGGGAAGGATAATTTAGTCAATTCAAATATTTGTTATTAATCAATTGTGCTAAGTTAATTCAGTCATATTGAATTATTGTGTTCAACATAGAATCCAATCTGATTCGGACCGGTTATGGATTTGCTTCATTAATCATATATGAAATAATACTTCATTGGTCTCAAATATTTAAGCATATTTTCTTTATAAAAATAATAATAATTGTTATTTTTTCAAATAAAAAATACTAAAAAGAAAAAAATAAAGATATCTGTACAGATAATTCAAAAAAAAAAATAATTTAAACGACTGAGAAAATAAAAATTTTTATTTAATACACTACATACTATGTTAAATAAAAGTGCATTGTTGTAATGTATGAATGCATATATAGCATGTTAAAATTAATTGTGAATTGTATTTTTTTAACTAGGTTATATATTATTCGTTTATATGTTGTATTTGTATTCCAATTTCGGTAGACACAAGGATTTACTAATATTATAATTAATAAGTAATTATAAAATGTATTAAAATTATAGATTATTAAATTCAAACTATAATTAAAATATACACTTTTTTAAAAAAAGAAAAATTATATAAAATAAATCGAAATAAAAATAATAAACTATAAAAATCCTCTATTCATAACCACGTAATATTGAAACTCAATAATCTCAAATTGTGACAAAATGACAATTTTTAACTTTAGGGAATTGAAGATTCGTGACGAGGGTAGTTTGGGGAATTCAGTATATAAGTGGGGCCCAAATTGATGAAATCCAGGCTGGAAAGTCAGTGAGCTTTTTAACATTTCTTTGATTGAATTCAATACAGAGCAGAATCGATCGAGTTGAGTGGTTGCGGTTGCACGGACACTTCATTACAGCCGTACGATCGTGTGGTCACCAGTCAAAAGAGTTAATGCAACGGACGGTCCAGATCTATTTTACCTCAATAAATGGCACTCCCTATTGTTTTATTTATTTACAGTGTGCTAGTTCAAACAAATTCTTGAATAGTAAATATTTTGAATTTGAATAGTTGTATGATGTGATATAAATAGGTGTTGATATGATGTTTTGAATGTAAAATTAATTTTTAATATAATATAAAAAATAAAAAATAGGTCTGACACGGAGAAAAAAATTGGATGAATAATATAAATCCAATCCAATCCCCCAAACAAACACACCCTAAGTATACTATGGTCTGACACGGAGTTTAAAAAAAATAAATATTTTGTTAAAAAATGATTTGTAGTTATGAGTATTTTTAAAAATTTAATTAGAAATTAAAGTAAATAGGTAAAGAGAATGTAATAAAGTATGTGGTATATATTGTAAACAAGTGTTGAACGAAAAATAATAATTAAATGTTAATTTGTTAACTTTGCCAAAATTAATAATGAGATAAATTTAACGGAAGAACTAAAAATGAAAGTGAAAATAAATTTAACCGACAGATGGGATGGGGTAATATATAAATAACATAATTAATTAATATTTCATCTGTTTATTTTCAAAATATATATTCATTTTTTTTATGCGTAATTTAAAAAAATAATAATATTATAATTATAATTAAAAATAATATAAAAATAATTTTGCTTTTCTTATTTAAGAAAAAATAATTATAATAATATAAAGATATTTATCAAAAAATAGATAATTATTATTAAAAATAATGAAATTTTATAACTAGTAATTCAAAATATAAATATGTATACTTTATGAACAAACGGAGAAGAAGAGAATATAAATTTATCTTTTCCTTCACCACTCTATGTACTTATAAAGATAAAAAAAAATAAAAAAATAATAATAATAAAAAACTTCAAATTAAATACTAAACAAACGCACTCATTATCTTTTCCAATTTTGGCTACGAAGATAATTTTAATATTTTTAATAGTGATATTCATTAATTATAAGTTTTTGAAAAATATATAAAATTATGTTTTTACAAAATAATTATTAATTCTATCTATAAAAGAAGTATTGATAGTATAAATTTATAAATATATTCAATAAAAATTTGAATATACTTCGATGCTATTAATACATAATTTGCATCAAACATACTTGAAAATATAAATATAGTACTCCCTCAGTCCCGAAATTAAGTATCAATTTGTTTTTTGCACGTAATTTTAGAAATATTAGTATTATATTAAGATATAGTACGAATAAAGTATAAATGACTAAAATAACCTTATTAGTATGTGTGATATAAAGGTAATGACATTCATGTAATATATTGTAAGTTGTAAAAGTATTTGTAATGCTAGGTAAATAGTACCGTTACTAAAAAAAGAAATGAATACTTGTTATGGGACGGACTAAAATGAAAAAATAGATACTTTGTTATGAGACGGAAGGAGTAGATAAAATTGTTTTATATATCAATATAAATTATAATATATAATATTTATGTAAAACAATATGCATTGATATTGATATTGAATTTCTCTTTTAAGTAGAATAAATTTATATTTAATATTCGTAAAATATATCAAATATAATCAAATATTTATCTATAATAGTACATATAATAAAAATATTTAGAATTAATTTAGTGATTGATTTATGCAATATATTTTTAAATAAAATAAAATATAATATTGATAATAAACACTACATAAATATATTAGAATAAATTAATTTATATAATAAAAACAATAATATTAAATAGATGATGATATATATTCAAAAATAATAAAATAAATATATAACAATATAAAAATATATGATAAGTTAAATATGTATATTAATTATTTGCTTTAAAAGAAAAAAATATGAATATATAATCCTTGTATAACTTTTATATATTTAAAAAATCATGTCTACAAAATTAAAATAAATAAAAAAAAGGATTAAAAAATACTAATCAATTATATCAAAAAAAGTATAAATAAAATTTCTTAAAATATTTTATTCATAAAATTCACAATATTCTCATATATTTATCTATATATTTATGTATAAATAAATTATATATATATGCATATATATGATTGTTATAAAATATTTATACAAAAATATGATAAACAAACTTAAATCGTAACTTACAATTTTATAAATGATTTAAGGCATATTCTTTTGAATCGAATTTATTAAAAAACAACTGTAGTCTATAAATAATATATATCTTGAAGAAAAATATAAATAATATTAATGATCATCAAATCAAAATTTAAAAATATACATATGAAAAATAAAAAATATTCATTTTTAGAAGCAATTATAAAAATAAAGCAATTTTTTTTAATAATTACATAAAAAAGTAACACTATAATCAACAAAAAAAAATAATGTCGAAAACAAAAATAAAATATTATATACATTTTCTATAAAATTGAGTTTTAAAATATAAAAATGCTACTAATAAAAAGAATATATATATATACATGACAACAAATTAAAGAAAAATTAAAAAATTAAAAAATATGAAAAGATTAGTATATTTGTTATTATTATTTTTTTTTTCTCATTTGTTATATTTGATATGAATCTCTTCTCCATAATCAGACAATATATATTGTCACATGTATAAAACAATAATATCATAAAATATTAACAATTAAATATAAAAGTCGTAAAAATTTCATAATTACATTCTAATAAATATTAATCCGAATCAAAGTAAATTACAAAATAAAAAGATTAAAAACTTAATAAGGGAACATAAAATAAATAAATAAGATAGAGTAGACGATGGTATTTGACGATAATAAAAATAAATATATAATTCACAAATTAATTTAATAAAATCATAAAATACTATAAAAATATTTTAAAAACAATTTTATCAAAAATTAAAATAAATAATAGAGATAAATATATATATATATATGTATATATATATATAAATACTCATAGTAAGACCATTATGTTTTTCTTTATCTATATAGATTTAATATAAATGATCATTGTGAAGAAAATGTATATAAATAGATACAATCTTAGCAAGTGAAAAAAAATAATAATAAAAAAAAACAATCAAAAATATAGAAACACAAACAAACACATTTTTATAAACATATGAGGTAGAGACAAAATGCAAATATATAACAGCAAATATTTTTATATTGAAACAACTTATTTTTCTTTCACAAAACAAATTCACTCTCAACCTCACATTATCAAACAACAAATGGATGGTACCCTTTAAGGGTGTGTTTGTTTGGGGTTTAAAATCCAATCCCCAAAACAAACACACCCTAAATATATCAAAATAAAAATAAAAATGCATTAAATCATAATTCAAACCCCAATTTATGCCTAAATATATTCATTATCCAATAATTTCATTAAATAAGACAATTATGCCTGTTAATTATAAATAATTAAATAAAACAATTTTATCAAAATTTTGAAAACAATAAGAAAAAAAAAAAAAAATCAAATGTCAAACTTACATTGATATCTTTTATATCATAATAATAATATATTAAAATTTAAATTTAAATATATATTATTAATTATAATTTCATTAATTATATCAATTATAACTATATAATATTAATAGTAGTTGTTGTTAACTATATCAATTAATATAATTTTTTATTAAAAAATTCAAAAAATTAAGAAAAAAAATTCTGATCACATGAGACCTATGAAGCTCAAATATATAATATATGGAAATAGATTACATAATAAATATATTAAATTATCTATATAATATAGTACTTCCTCCGTCCCGGA